TGATTATATACAACAGAACAGTGTTTCTAGCTTGGCCATTGTCCTCGTTGCTGTCTCTCCCCCAGACACACGCTGCTTTGCCTGGTTTGAAGGAATAATGTTAAGGCATTGCAGGTAGAGAATATTGAAGTAATGCTACCAGACTGTCTGGTAAGATGTCATGATGGGGCAATGAGTTTATTTAGAAATTCATTAAATGATCAGCTTTTATACATATGAATGTTCAGGCTTCTCAATCATATTCTATTTTAAGCGAACTTTATCTTTTATTTAAATTGGGTAGACAAATTTGTGATGAAGGTTGGTTTTTTTTCTTCTTCCCTTTGTTCACTTTTAAGACAGTGGGTAGCTTTGAAAATTTTACATACAAGTGCTTTTATTTCATGTTGGCATACTACCTCAGACACATGAAAAAGTTCAGTGCTGGAACTGTGGGATCTGTTCACCTCTGTAAACACAAGTTTCCACTAGACCAGATAGGATTATGGAATGCACATCAAGGTAAGACTAGAGTTCAGGATGTGTATTTGAGCCTATTTTTCACGTGAATAGCAGTCCTTTCAGTGATGCTTCACCAGGTTATTCTCTCCTCTCGGATACAAAGTTGGGGCATGGGGGTAGGACTCTCCAATTTATCTCTGTGTGTAAAATCTTTTCATTGAAGTCAACTGGGTTTTAACTTGTTTTCCTGTGTTTTCCCACTGTCTGTGGACGTACTGCTTTAAATTAGGATGAGGCTATGGAAGGAGACAGTGTTCTACTCCTTGAGAGAGGGAAACAGTGGTGTTTTGGTTCTTATGCCCCTAGGTTATGATATCCAACTGAGAAGTCTGCTAGCTAGTAAAAAAATTATTCCCTTCAACCAATTAATTTTACAAGTAGGGAAAGATAATAGGCAAATGCCGTTTTCAATAGATCTGTATTAACTGAGAGTTAACCTTTTCTCATTTTTAGCTATGGTACTAGCTTTATGGTGAAGCATAAACTTTATTAACAAAAAGGACAAACTAGCTGAGGATTAAGTGGTAATTTCTTCTGAAGATACTTATTTTCTGGTGGACGTAACTCCTGCCCCTGGGGTGGACTTGCATTTTCACTTAGGCTCTTCTTTAAAACTTGTCAGACTCCAGCAAAGACATGCTGATTTAATTGTTTGGTTTGGGTATTGCTGTTTCGTGCCTGGAGATAGCTCACATACTTGGGTTGCATTAGGAGTTTTTCAAACTGGATGTTTTACCTATCATAGCCGGTAACTGAAGCCTTGGAGGGCAGTGCAGGGAGTGTTGTAGAGCATTGCATTCTCTATTGATCCCATCTACTTTAACACCTTAATGCATTTTAATCCCTTACCAGATTCCATATTACAAGAATAATTTAATTGCAGCATTTCTTCTTGGAGGCTGGGAGTCTGGCAAAGCTGTTATGAAACTTTGGTCATAGTTGTTTTTTTATTTTATTTTTTTACTTTGTGCATTTATTAGCCACGCTGGAAAACCCTGTTACAGACACCCTAGCAATGGGTTGCTTGTTTTTCCTTTGGTATCAGAGGGCAATGTTTTTGTCACAGCTTGCCTTTCAGCCCCACAAACCAAGCTGTCTGGGAAAAACAGTAAATCTTCTGGAATTCTCTGTTTTGTGACTTTTGTACCCAGTAGCACAAGATTTTAATAAATAAACTTCCTTATTGCTAGGATGCAAAACCATTTTTATAGGTACTGAATCCTTTTAGGCCTTTCATCTCTTAACTTCTGTGATTCCAAGCAGATTTTATACTGACAGTTGAGATAAAGTACAGTCTTCCTCAGTTTCTCCTTATTTTCTTTTGCTCTGTGTTAGAGAGGGTACACAGCAATGGTGCACTATGCCTGCCTCACAGGTTAATGTCTCCTCACCAAACAGTGCCAGCCATTTCCATTCCATGAAAATCTTTTATCTCAACTGCTTGTTATCTTTCTGGACTCTTACGTATGTTGTATTATGTCTTTTTTTTAAACGGAGAATAACATGACAAAAATATACATATTTTATTAGCCCAATGTGGCCTAATGCCCTACTACATTTATTTTCCTATCCCATTCCTTATGACATCTTGCTGCCTTCGTCTTCATTAGACTTCCTCAATGACACGTTGCAGGTGCAGTTTACCACACGTTTATGTTCTTGGACATGAGCTTTGAGGGCATGTTGGGAGTTATAATGTCCATGATTAAGATCATCGTGAGCTTGCAGATCCCCAGCTCACAGTTAATACGATGAGTGAGTTCACTCATGCGTGGTCCTAGTAAGCATCTTGTGTGTGCTTTTGCCTTGTAGTAGAAGCAAGTAATTAAACTGAGCTGCGTTTCTTTGCACAAGCTGTTGGAAGCACTGGTGAGAAAATAAAGTGGAAACTAATGGTGTACCATGCAGAATCTGTTGCACTGTTACTTCTGTGACAGTGAGCTGGCTACTTTTGCTCAAAAAAATGAACTTGGAACTTGTCTCAAATAGGCTTATGAATGTTCGAGAGGATGGTGAGCACATATCTATCAAGGATATTTGTAATACTTTTTAAAAATTTGATTTATTTATTTTTTAACCCCAGGATCATAGGTTTGAATGAAAAATGTATTGCACCAAACTCTTAAACTGTTTATTGGGTGCATTAGTACTGCAAAGAAAAAGGTGGTAACTCGGAAGGGAACAGAAAGTAGATTTGATTTGCAGTTGGAGAAATAAAAGTAGAATTAAAAGCCAGTTGTATGCACTATGGCTCAATGCTAAATGCTCATAAGCCTGCCTTCCCCCCCCCAAGTAACCTGTACGCCAGGCCCCACAGAGCACATTGCTGCACACAGTGTGTGGATACAGTCCCACTCATGTCTGGAGGGTTGATTGTATCTGTGTACTAAGGTGTTACTAAAAGGCTGATCTTAGGTTATTTGCTTGAGGCAGAACTGCAGTTCTGTTGCTGCTATTTTTTTCTCCTGTAGCACTTAAAATTTTAATCTTTAGATGTAACACGACGCAGGTGGTAGCAGGCAGACTTTGGGGTTTATTTCCACTACCTGATTTTTGACCTGTCTTTTTGTTTATGGGAATGCTTAGGAATTGTCTGTCTTCCCCATGGAGGTACCTCATGCTGTAACCTCTGAGGAGGAGTGATTCCCCAGCCTCAGTCAGCGAATGGAGATAACAGCAGTCAACTGTCAACCTTCCAGAGCCTGTGGTCAAATGTATTCTGCAAACATGTCCAGGCACAGAGGATGATTTTTGTAGTACAAGTTTTGCATCTGCTGTTATCCCTGTCCAGGCTCTGTGCGCAGTATCACTCTGGCCATGGATGTTCTAGGTGTCAGCTGCTGTCCTGCTATGTGGGGCCATTTATGCATGCAGATGGATGCTTGTGCTAGAACAGCTGCATTAGGCACGCACAGGGTTACAAATGAATGCATTGCTCCAACAGTCGTCATAGGCAGAGTGGATATAGCAGATTTGCATAGTAATTTGTTTTGAAGATGTTGGTGACATGGACTGAGGTATGACTTGCTGTGGAATTGTGATTGAAGTTGCTTGCTGTAATTTTGTACAGAAGCATAATCTTATATAAAGTTTATTCAAAAAAAACTCTGGCCTGGGGAAGGAAATTTCTGCATGAACACACAGGATTTCAAGAACTTGCTTTTTTTTCACCTTCTAGTTACAAAAAGGTAATTACTTGAGACATCAGTTCTTTCCAAGCATTCGGATTTACAAAAATTGCTGAGGCAGGTTTTGATAGCAATTCTTCACTCTGCAACATAGAGTTGCAAGTTATTGATATCCTGTAATTTTCCATGAAGACTTAAATCTCTTCCATTGTTGATGAAGTAGCAGTATTATGTAAGTATCTCACTGTAACACTTCTGATTGACATCAATGTCTGTCCTTCAATTAGGACAGGCAGAGGTGGTTTAAAAAAAAAGTTGTGTTCTAGGTTTTTGTCAAAAAGAGCATACTTCCCCAATGTACTTCCCAACATTTTCTTTTCAAATATGTTTGACCACAAGTTAAGTATGACTTTCTGTGTTGGCTGGTAAGAGTACTGGGATGCTCATGTCTAGTTTCTTTTGCTTTGAGATACCTGAAGCAAGTGATGGATTGTAGAACCTGATAGTCTGTTATAGATGGCATGGTTTAACGTTTGTGTTCAGGGATCATTTGCTTTAAGGCTAATAGCCACATTATCCTGTTGTTCTTTTTTCAATACATGCCCTGAAACACTTAGGCAAATAGTTGAGACTCGACTGTTTTGGTGTCCAGCTGGTTTGCTTCTAACCAAAGTTTTGAGGATGTTGCTGTGTCGGGAATTATTCTGAAAGGTCTCTAAAGAATTTTCACTACTGTTCTTCAACTGCAAGAGGAAATTGCACTCCCTCCAACTTCATGAGAACTTAATTACCATTTCCTTCGGAAGAACATCTGTAGGGCTGTGAATGAGCGAGCTATAACAAAACAAACAACTTCTGTGATACTCCTCCGTCTCCCTGGTTCCTCATGTTCGGTTTCTATTGCAAAGCCCTACCTAGCCTTTCTTCATTTTAATATACTTAAAAGAAAACAACCCTTTTGAGCCTGCTGCCCACTAATAAAGCAGCCGAATTGGGTTATCTAGCTTGCAACAGAGGTATTCTCATAAAGGATCTGGTAGGTTTTCCCCTATTAGTAATAGAGGGAGAGCCACTGTGCCCCTGATTATTCAAGTCTGAACTGAAAAAAATGGGGAAATATTAATTGGGGGAGGAGTTAAATCTTTCTCCCACTCCCTTACACTTGGTTTAAAACCTGCCAGCCCCTCTGAGTAATTCATCAATCATATAAACATTGACCCTAGTTTTTGGACAGGGAAAGTATTAAATGCTTAGCTTAAAGTAAAAAAAAAAAAAAAAAATCCCATACCCCACCAAAGAAGGACATCTGTTTCTAACTTCAGCTTTTTATTTTTTTATCTTTCATTTTTTTTTTGTTGGTAAATCTCCCAGACAACAGCAGTTCTGTAGAGAGTTTAAATATGAAGGAATGGCAGGACGGGCTAAGGGCACTTCTACCGAACATTAACATCAACTTTGGTGGACTGCCCAATGCTTCTTCCCCCTCCAACGCCAACCACAGTGTACCAACGTCCAACACTGCCACCACCGACAGCCTGAATTGGGACAGCCCTGGCAGCTGGATGGACCCCGCAATCATCACAGGTAACCGTTTCTCACTCCTTCAGCTCCGCTGGCAAACCATCAAATGGGTATTTGGCACAAACTGATTTACATCTGGAAAAAAAGAAAAAGTCAGTATGCGGTGGTCTCTTCCAGCTTCCATCCACAAAACCTCAAGGGTCCAGGAATTTTTGTGGAACCGCTAGGTATAACAGTGTCACTTAGGCCTTTGCAATGCATGCCCGGGACCTCTGCAGGCAGTCAGGCGGATCAGCGCTTATCTATAGGGTCGACGTAGGTGTCCCTTCTGCTGGATGGCATGTCCGGTATGTGCGCCGCTGGTCCTGAGGCATGGAAGGCATTCACTGGACTTTGTTATTTAAAAAGGGACGTACTCCACTTGTTTATAAAGCTCTCTTTTATAAGGCTGTCTGGTTGTGTTTCCCTGTTAGAGAGGCTGAAGCATGATTCAAGTAGGCAGAGTAGGAGGTGAAGCATGCAGTGTACTGGTAGTTTGGTGTGGTAAGGTCACGTCAACAGGGATGCAGTACTTGCGCAGGATGTTTGATAGAAAAATGTGTGGTTTATGAAGAAGTGCTCTGAGGGGGAGCTTTCTCCTACCTGGATTTTATGTTAAATGTTTTGCGGGCAGGGTAATTCTATATAATAATGTAAAATGCATTCTGTGTACAAACTAATCATGTTTTCTCACTGTTGCTTTTTGTTAGGTTAAATTGACCTCCTTCATGCTCAGCTCATTGCTTCTGCTCTGACTTGTCTGTATCCCTGTTGTTTTTTCTTCTCTTCATAGGTATCCCAGCCTCCACAGGAAACAGTTTAGACACCCTTCAAGATGACAATCCTCCACATTGGCTAAAATCTCTTCAGGCCCTCACAGAAGTGGACGGCCCCAGTGCAGCGCCATCACAGACGCACCACAGTAACCCCTTCGGCACACAGATCCCTCTGCACAGAGCCAGTTGGAATCCCTACTCTCCTCCTTCAAACCCCACCAGCTTCCATTCCCCACCTCCAGGCTTTCAGACAGCCTTCAGACCCCCCAGTAAAACCCCCACAGATCTACTACAGAGCTCAGCGCTGGATCGTCATTAGGAAAGGAGGAAAAAGAAAAAAAAGAAAAATAAAACCCAAAACGTTAGAAATGCAGGAAGTGTCCCACCCTGACTCCTCCCCATGCCCACCTACTGTTCCCTGTCATATCTTTCTTTCTGAAGAATCCAGTTCCTGATTAAACCTCCCCCCCAAATGCAATGCCATCACAGGGTCATGACCGTATCTTTTCGTTAAGTTTCTGCTGAGCCAGTGTTTGAAATACACTGTTTGAAATATTTTCTAACCATTCTATGGGAAAAAAAAAGAGAGAGAGAGAGGAAAATCAAAATGCAGTCTCAATGCTTAAGGAGAATATTACTGTCTTATGTCTTTTGCACATGAGTATTTCTGCCTACTGGAAAAGTGTCAATCTGCAGTAGGGGAAAAATGCAATGCAGAATCAAATGCAGAAACATGAAAAAGGTATTTAATTTAAATGAAGTTACTGAACATGTGGGGCAAGCAGTGGCCTAGCATTTATTTTGCATTCAGTGTGGCACTACACAGAGAAATTGCTATGTTGGATTTTTTTTTTTTGAGAAGGGGATTTCATTGTGTCAGAGTTTGACATGAAGTGTGTTGAAAGACAAAACACTTAGAGCTACGAGTAACTGGCATGTTGCTAAAGAGTGGTTTAAAGAGGGGAGAATAAGATTTTTCTTTTAATTTTGGCTTTAGATTTAAAGTAAACTTTAATGTTTTAAAAGTATTCACAGATTTAATACCTAGCGTATACATAATATAATTATAAGCAGCTGAAACATGAGTGATATTTACTTCAGTCTTTCTGTCTCCTCTGTCAGTCTCTCTTTCTTTTTTTTAAAAAAACAAAGATTCACCTGATTAGGGCACTCTGGGATAGCACTGCATTGGGGCCACATGATCACCATCAGGAGCAACCTCTGACCTCCTCTGCCTGCAGCTTTTACTTAACCCTGTAGTTTCTGGACGTTTGTGCAGTATTGAAAAGACAGGAAAAAAGAAACAGATAAATAAACATGGTTATAACCTGACGCTAAAACTAAAACCAAGGAAATGTACCTCTTTCTTCAGAATTAAAACTAAAATCTTAAATAAAACAGAAAACTTGATGATGACTTTGTGTTTGCTTCTTGTTTTTTTTAAACTTGGATTTTTAATTACTGCATCTGGTAGAGCTGTATGTCATTGCATTTTTTTTTTCCTGTTCATGTAAACTGGAGCTACTTTTTCATGGAAATAGTGCTTTGCACGGTGACTTCTGTATTTAAGGGTGGAAAAAGCATACACACTTCAAATTTTTAAAGGGATTCTGTTGACTTTATTCATGGCAATAGCTAGAGGCTGTCTGTCTTTAACCTTTATTCGTGGTATCCTTTTAAATCTGAAGCATGAAAAACTTGTTTATACTTTCTGCGTTAAATGCCATGGCACTTGGGACAGGTAGCATGCAATAATGTGCCTGAAGGTGTGGCAGAGAATTCTAGTTATGACTCCCTGTTTCTGTCAGCATCCTCGCTCAAAGGTGTAAAATACTGTCACTGCACAACAGGGAATGAAGAGCTTTTAACATACAGAAGGCCTCCAACAAGCTCTCATACTTCCAGCCAGAGGTATTTAAAACTAGCAACCTTCTGATTGGGGTGCTGGGTTGATGTAGCTCATGAGGGTGGCAGAGAGCCTGAAATCCCAGAGATGCCTGTGCAGAAGGATTTCTCAGAGGTGTGAGCTGTAGAGTTCAGGCTGGCTGCCCTGCTAAAAGGTTTGCTGCTGGCAGGGGCGAGGAAGGGAGTTCACATCGCCGAACTATGGGCACCTAACGGGAGCAGGACAGGACAGCCCGGTCATGGTCCAGGGAGTGGGAGTAAGTCCTGAATCAATCGCTGGACAGAGGAACCAGGCACTGAATCTGCATAAAGCGACTCCAAATATCCTGCTTTGTAAAAGATCATTTGTTGATGATTGCCTGCTTTTGCTCTTCTCTTGTCTCTGTTGCTGATAAGTGCTGTATTCACTGTCTGCGTTAAGGAACTGTATGTACTGTTTCTGGATGGGCGTTGTTGCTGCAGATAGTCCTGTGCCCTGGTTACTTGGGAGAACAATCCCCCACTGGTGGTGGGAGGAGAAGTGCTGCTTGCTGGGACTGTCCTCTGCTGTGGCAGTGCCTGCTGCTGCCCCTGGCACTGGGGATGCAACCCAGTGGGAACGGTCTGCTGGAGGTGCTGGTGAAAATGCAATGGGGCTTTTTTTGTGTTGGGTTTGGGGTTTTTTTTGTCTCTCCTTCCCCAGTTGTTAGAGACAGACATTATTCAACCTTTAACGTTTCTCTTTTAGAAGGGTGCCCTTCCTGAGCCTGAAAATAAGCAGACCTCCCAAAGCAGTTGTAGCTGCTTCCGAGGTACCACAGCAATTCCTGAAGCTGCTGCCGCCTTCGGCTCTTCATTTGTCTCTGTTGCAGTTCAGGATGTGCTCAGGGAAACCTGTGCCTGTGGTCTGCTACCACTAGAAAATAGGCTTCGGCCGCTCAGGAGAGCGCTTATTCCCTGCTGCCATACAACAGCTTGTGTGGGCAGCCTACTGACAAACTCTTAGCCTTCAGGAAAAGGTTTGCAATTAGAATGATTTTTCTCTTTATGGTGACATTGGTGTTATAACATTAAAATGTATCAGTGTTCAGGTTGATGTGTGGGGGTGCAGATTCTGCCTCTTTTAGCCTAGTTTTGTCTGTTGTCTGACGTTGATTCCTGCAGCCCCCCAGTGGGGAAGCAACCTGGCATTTCACTCTGTTCAACTATGCGGAGCTCAATTAGTTTCTCCTGAGGTTTTTGTTGTTGATCAACTCTTCCTGTGATAAGAAATTCTGCACAGGAACCTTTATTGAAAGGAGAGCATCCATGTGTCTCCTTTGTCCCTGTGATCATCTCAGTGCATGGTCTGTTGTTGTTTTGTATATTGTGTGGACACTTGCAGCTCTTCCTTGCATTAAGCGAAGAACAGTGCTTGACTAAAAGGCTGGTGACCCAGGACTAGCAGCACGTTTGGTAGATGGTGTCTGGTGGAGATGGAATTGGAGAAAGAGGATGGACCAGACTCCTCCAAAATGGATATGGATGTGTGTTGAGGGAAGGGAGTTGTTAGCCATGAACATGTTGGCACAAGAAGTTGTGTTGCATTTTCAAAGAAGTCTCAATTAGCACATAATAATTTGGGGTCAGCAGTGCTGGACTGATACTAAGGATTCCTGGCTTGGTTTTGTTAAGGGAATGATGTTTCTCTGGATTACAGCAAGGAATATAATGTCACCTTCTAGATAAGGAAGAGCCATTGAATAAATTCTTTTTCCTTCTTTTTATAACTTCCATTTCCTACTTGTAAGTCAAGTGTGAGCAGGTATGTGCCCTTATAAATTCAGTGTCTTGACAAGGCTGCTCTAACCGTACTTAAAACAGTATTGCCAACTTCCATGACAGTGTTTAATCATGAAGCTGAGTTTGTATTCTAGTTCCTGAACTCCAAACTTCTGTTTTCCTTCTTCTCCATCACAGACTCTGTTGTCCAAATTTTTTTTTTCCCCGAGATGCTTGTTTAATCATAGGCATTCAAGATGTTGGATTTTAGGGAAAATGCAGTGTGTTTGGGTTTTCCTGTGGGGTGTGGTTTGGTTTTGGTTTGGGGTTGGTTTTGGTAGTGGTTTGGGGTTTTTTGTCTTTGTTGCTTTGTTCTGTTTTGGTTTGGGGTTCTTTTTACAGTTTGGTAGAGCTGGCCGTGCTGCATGTTTGGCTTGAACACCTTTTTTTTGTCTGGGGAGAAGAGGGGTCATGCACCCATTTCCTCCTTCATCCTTGCAAGGGAGCTTAGAAAAATACCCTTGAAAAGATTGTAGAACAGTTACTTGGGTGCTTCTTGTTCGTCCCTCTCCTTGGGGTGCATAGAAGTTGCACTAAGTTGCAGAGGAGCTTAGGTTTGGTGTTGGTCTCCAGCACATGTAAATCCACTGCGTGGCAGGTGCTGGTTTTGCCTGGGACTAATTCCCTCTGGGGAAAACTGTAGTGCTGGAATCAAAACTTACTGCTCAGAGCTGAGGTGGGTCAGGAAACACTGAGAGGTGGCACAGTCCTTGAAGGGTTAGGCCACTGGAGCTGTCACCAGCCCTGCTTGAAGGGGTTGTAGGTACTTGTAACTTCTTGAGGGGAGGGAACTCTTCTCCAGTCCAGCTGCCAGGGAGATGAATTTTTGGCACGCACAGAGCAAATAAAGTGAAGTGCCGTTTGATGTGAATCCATGCATCAAGAGTAGTTGTTGCTTTAGATCTTCCAGCGGTGTGTGGCTGTATGGCTAACTATAGAAGTGCTTCCCTCCTCACTGATTTATTATCATCTGTTTGAGCTCAATGTGGATGTCCTAACTGTTGTGCTCCTTCCTCTTTGCCCACATTCCAGCATCTCTTTTCCCCTACTTTGGGACGTTCCGCTAATGGGAAACAGCTCTCGGGTGCTCTTATGTTTATGTCTGTGACTGTAAACAAAGCTCCTAAAGAGGAAGAAGGTGAAGTATTGTCAAAGCTTTGGGTTACACTGTAGGAAATGGCGTCGCCTCCGTATGCTCTGATCTATGTGTGAGAGCACTGTATATGAGCAATATCTTCATCTTCCCTTCTTTCTGGGGTTTGCCTTTGCCCTAGGCTTACTGCTGTTATGTTTATGTGGCAGAGTGAAGGCTCCTGAGATGGAAACAGCCAAATGAAGTTCTTGCCATACAAGTACAGGGAGCTAGACCGACTCGTGGGGATGCAGGAGTCTGAACTGCTGCCTGGTGGAGGTTTGAGGTGAGTTGGGTGATGCTGGGAGCAACAGATTTGTTACCAGCTTTGCTGATGAAAAGCACTGGTTTAGGGTGGTCTGATGCAGTGATACTAGGTGTGGAAGTCATCTGAGCAGAGGTGGTGTCACTGTAGAGGAAAACCGCATAGAAAAGTCGCTGTTAATGTAAAGCCGATGGAGGAGCGATCTGCCAGACCTGTGGTGGTCAGGAGGAGCCCATCTCCTGCAACACAGATGAGGTGGAGTCCTTCAGCGGGATATGGTCATTGCACAGTTACTGTTGCTTTCTCCTGTGAAATGTTGCTAGATTACTATTTCTTTGCCCCAGTCCTCAGACTTAGAAACTTGACAAATACCTCTTCATTTCAGAGATGCTTAGAGAGATTGGGACTTGCTGAGCTCTCTCCCCTTCCTGCCAGCACAGCAACACTTAAAAGTGTTAGTCTAGAAAGCTTG